CCAGAAGCTATACAGGGCCCCCAGTAGCCCCTAGAAGCTATACGGTGGCCCCCAAAGCTATATGGTGGCCCATTGGGGGACACTTAATAGCTTCTGGCGGCCATTGTATAGCTTATGGGGGCTACCGTATAGTTTCTGCGGGCCCTTGCATAGCTTCTGGGGGCCATAGTATAGCTTCTGGGAGCCACTGGGGGCCCCTGTATAGCTTCTGGGGGCTACACTACAGTTTCTGCAGGCCCTTGCATAGCTTCTGGGGGCTATCGTATAGCTTCTGGGAGCCACTGTGGGCCCCTGTATAGCTTCTGGGGACCACTATATAGCTTTCGGGGCCACTGGGGGCCACCGTATAGCTTCTAGGGGCTACTGGGGGGCCCTTTATAGTTTCTGGGAGACATTGGGGGCCACCATATAGATTCTGGGGGCCATTTTGTAGCTTCTGTGAACCACCATATAGCTCCTGAGGGTCACTATTTAGCTTCTGGGGGCCATCATATAGCCTATGAGGGCCACTGGGGGCCACCGTATAGCTTCTAGGGGCTACTGGGGGCCCTTCACATCTTCTGGGAGCCATTGGGAGCCACCATATAGATTCTGGGGGCCATCATGTAGCTTTTTGGGGCTCCTGTATAGCTTCTGGGGGCCATCGTTTAGCTTCTTGGGGCCACTGGGGTCCCCTGTATAGCTTCTGGGAGCCACCGTATAGCTCCTGGGGGCAACTAATTAGCTTCTGGAGGCCATCATATAGCTTCCGAGGGCCACTGGGGGCCACCATATAGCTTCTGGAGACCATAGTATAGTTTCTGGGGGCCCTTGTATAGCTTCTGGGGGCCATAGTATAGCTTCTGGGGGCCCCCGTATAGCTTCTGGGCGCCACCGTATAGCTCCTGGGGGCCACAGGGTTTCCTGTATAGCTTCTGGGAGCCACAGTATAGCTCCTGGGGGCCACTAATTAGCTTCTGGGGGCCAACATATAGCTTCTGGGGAGCACAGTATAGCTTCTGGGGGCCACTTGGTGCCCCTGTATAAATTCTTGGGGCCACTGGGGGCCATCATATAGCTTCTGGGGGCTTCTGAAACCTAATAATTAATGTATTTTGCCAGGTTTCACCAAAATCTTCAAATATGGGGGCTGTCAGGGGGGGGGGTTAAATTAATTAAGTTATAATTTTTCTAAACAAATTCATGCGACTATTTATCTCTAAAGCAAAGGGAGAATAACTTCCTTTTAACTCATTAAGAACGTGAAATGTGAAAACCTCATTATCAAGTGATGTTACCATAGCATCTGAAATGTTAGAAATATTACATGAATCATATGATGAATCATCTTCACTTCTAATCATGCTATATACTTCAGATGCTTTAAGAATCAAGAATATGAAGAATATGATGAAAATCAGACTATATGTATACTATTTATATGAATCATTGAAAGTGCATGGTAAATTATAAAATTGGATCTTTAATATACAGGGTCGAGATAACCGTTTTGACCCCTGTGAATGATAGTCAAAATGCATGTAACCTTTCCACATACTTATTAGTTCAGTTCTAGACATGTACATTTTTACTCAATAAGATTGAAACAACTATGGTTGTTACTTTTTTTGTTAATTTAATATTCTTTTTATATATATATATATATCTCTTTATTTCCCATTTAGCATGGAGTACAAAAATTTAAACATTTAACACAACAGTGAAAATTAACCAAAAACAACGACATAAAAACACATCTAAAAATTTAAGACAATAACAAAAAACACACAAAACAACAAGAACAATCCACATCTAAAATGTCAATGACAAGTATAAAGTATCTATTAAAAAATCACAAACAGTGGTGGAAAGTCACATTTCTAAAAAAATATTTGCATCACTCTAAATTGGAGTGGTAAGATCAATATTTAAAAGTTCTACAACAGTACACAAGAAAGGTAGGAGAATTGCCAAGACTTTTGAATTGTCTGTAAAATATAAGCTGGAGAGGCCTTTCACTGACACACAAAAGGGGTTTTCTCGAAAATCCTTTTTGAACGACTCTATCTTAAGCCCAATTCTGTTAAGGTTCAAGACATCGCTTAAGTTGTGTAGCATTTCATTGCGAGCATCTTCAGTTTTGGAACAATCCAACAGTCCATGTGAAACCGAATCCGGAGTTAGCACGCCACAGTGCTCACACAGGTTTTCATCATTACTTAACGGGATTGTTAACAGTTTTGAGGCTACGGTGGCAAACTTTAGCAGACCAGGGACGACCTTTGAGTGTTTCCAAAGTGGACACGGTTCTATTGAATCTTGTATTTGTCTCAGTCGACTAAAACTAACATCATTAGAAGTTCTATCTTGCCATTCGGAGTTTTGTACTGAATTTATTGTATGTTTTACAATGTTTTTCCAAATTCTTTGTGGCGGAAAATACCCACTAACTAAGTATTCGCGTAATGAATCTAGACTGTATTTATTTAATATTCTGTGAATATCCAATTTTGAAGATTTGTTGTCTCTTTAATGTTGCTTATATCTTCCACTCATCAAATAAGGGACAAAACTATGCACACATTCTGTCATACGGCCTCAGTTCTAATAGATATGTTGCTATACTAGGATATTCTGAACTAAAAATGGATTGATGACGTCACAATTGATGCAAATTAGCTAATTTGCATAACTTAATATTGTAACCATATAGTAAATTTAGTAAGGTTTAATCAGATACCAATATCATCTCTATAGACCAAATAATGGCGAAGCTACATTGATTCAAGACTCCAAGGTAAGACGTAATGTATATTATTGTCAAATAATGACATTCACGATAGCTGCCTCGAAAGTTACATAACTTTCGTAATACTGATTCAATTTTGAATCTGTTTTCACTTTTATGTTGCTTATACCTTCTACTAATAGAATAAAGGACAAAACCTTTCAGAAATATTGCCATACGGCCTCAGTTCTAATAGATTCGTTGCTATAGTTGGAAATTCTGAACCAAAAATAGATTGATGACGTCATAATTTATGCAAATTAGATAATTTGCATAATTGAATATCAGAACTTTATTGGAAATTTAATGAGGTTTAATTTGGTACCAATATCATTTCTATAGACCAAATAATGACAGAGCTACAAATGATTTAAGATACCAAGGTAAGATGTCTAAAGATGCGTAACCATGGTAACTGAATGCCGCCATAAAAGTACTATGGGACATTAGTTGGCAATGTTAACAAATGAATTCATTAAATAGACACCCTAGGAATTACAAAAATGTATGTAACTTATTCACACCTTATGGGTGCATGGGAACCCCTTGTTCCTACTATACTATTAGACAAGTGTTGGAAGCCATGTATCTAGTCATCCTATACTATCCTTCCTTGTGAAGGGGAATTTTGTTAGGTGGGATAGGGTTCAAGGGGTTGAAGCAAGAGCATAATTCAAAATTGTAAATTATATTCTGAGTCTAATATAGTCAATCTGCAAAGTTCATCACATCCTTGCAAGCGTACATGTTAAGTAAGTTACAGTTAAGCAAAAAACAATTTCATAAATTCTAAGAATGTTGTGTTAAAGTGCAAATTAGAATTGAGTGTCACTATGGTAATTGTTCATGATAACTGTTGCAATATTGAGATGTCTTATTTAAGAATAATCTATAAAATTATATAGTACAATTATTGGATTAACAAGCCTCGAGGAGCATGTCAGTATACTCACACATGATTGGTCAAAATATTTCCTATTATAGTTTTTCACTAAAGTGAGACATCACAACTCTTTGTTCTTTTTTAAAAAATATATAATATTGCAGCAAATTGCAAAACAGAATGTAATGGGTACCAAAATGCTTAATATCGAATCATTGAATCTACATGTACTTTATTTATCTTTTTCATTTACTCTCATCATGTGAATCTCTCAGACATATGGGCCATGTTACAGGTTTGTATATAAAAAACGATTATGTGTATATGTACATTATAAAATTAATTACATCAAGAGAAGTTTTTAACATTAAAATACAAATGCACAGAGTTTCTATATAAAGGCTGAAACTCTGACTACTTTGAGCCTCATCTACATTAGGTATTCTATTACATTGACCTCACATTATTTCCAATGTGATATGATGCATGATTGACCTACTAATTAGCATAAGATTATAAGGACACCACTGTAGCTTTATATTAGCTCTCACAAAGGCCAGTAATCATATATTGGGAAATGATAGTTCTATAGCTTCTTTTATCTTGCCAGCATGGACCATATGGCAATTAGTACAATATTATTAGAAATTACATTTTCTAAAAAAACTCTGAATTTCTCTGTTGGTGACATATCATAATTAAGAGTCAATACTGACCATGGTATAATAGTTTTATTTACCCTTTTCATTACTTTTATTTCTCTTTGTATAGTTAGAACTAGGCTCTGAGCCTTGTGAAAAAGTCCTATATCTAATACACATGTGAGCGAAATATTAATTATTCATTCATTGATTCAACCGATTTTATGGCTATATCATTTTTGACATCAATTCCTGTTTAAGTAAGCATATGATGAGTTATGGATGAGATGATCCTTATTTCATAGTTAATCAAGCAAAATATGGATACATGTATGTATTGATCCCATAGTAGAACATGGTTATGTATCAGTGGTATGTGCAGATATTGATCTCCAAGGGAAGTCCCTGGTTGAAAAATTACACTGTAAAGACCTGGAGAAATCCAGCAGAATGGAGTAAAAGTAGAAGAAATATGAATGGGATTAATGTGACTACACAAAGATAGTCTGTACTTTTCTATAAGGCCCAGTACTGTGTTTATACTAAAGATGTAAATATATGTGTGGACCTTCCACGAACCAATTCTGAGTGGCGATACAACATTTCAATGAAATACAACATTTCAATAGCAGTAAAATTTACAAATTTTGATCAACCTTTTCAATATTTTATTTTGAAAAAAAAAACCAGAATATGTATATAAACAAACCTTATGAAGAGTCTCAAGAGCGAGGGCAATCTCTCCTATATATATGCGCACCTCTGGCTCCTTGAAATGTTCCCTTTGGTATAGATGGGTGAACAGCTCCCCTCCATTTACATAATCTGGAAATACGCAAGAATAATTCTAATTAGTTGATGCCACATTTTACACATTCTGATACGCATCAGATCTTCTGTTTCACTAGAATCATCACATGGCTGAGAAGAAATGATATGTCATACTTTATATAATATAAAAAAGTACAATATAGCTGTTTTTAATTGAAAAACTGGTATTATTTTGTGAAATAACATAACATCACATGACGTGAAGTGACATCATATCACATTATATAACACAATGAGACTAAAATGTAAAAAAGAATTTAAATCTCTGGAAGCTATAGAAACTGAAAAAAATACAAAGAGGCATAACTGGAAAGTAAAATTTGAATTAAACTTATACCTTTTGCCCAAGTCTACAATTTTAGAGCATGAGAAATTAACAGAGGTGGGGCGGCAGCGATTCACCAATAATCTGTAAAGATCTATTAAACAAAGCCAATCAAAAGCCACATGTGGAAAGAAACAAGATATTACCTAAGTCACCATCATGATAAATGATGACAACTACTTCCTTTATAGACAGAAACCTGTTATGAATAACAGAATGAAAAGTATCAATTCTTCATTTCCTGTGATTATATCCCTTGACAAATCATCACATTAAGAACATGAATCTATCAAGTTCAACAACAGAAAGATATGCTATATACATGTACAGGGATACCTTATAAGGACCATCCTTATTGTGCATTAGGATGACCACTGAGCCTGTGTATTCTTTCCAACCAAGCAAGAAATAGATAACATGGGGTCCCATGATTCCCATGCATCAAATCATGGTCTTCTTCCATTTTCCCCAATAGAATATTAGAGAGTCAATGAAGCTCTCTTTTAAAAATGTACCATCAAACTCTCTAAAGAGAGCTTAGAAGAGAATGGGAGAGAGGTAACAAAGGAGGTTAAGTCAAGATCAGAATTTTGCATTCAGTTGAGTAAATTCGTCAGAATACCACTGAATGTACCATTGTACCAGCATCATCTCTATGTCCATGTAATCTAATAAATATGCCTGATGCATACTTATAACATTACATGCATATAAAACATGCAATTTTTAGTTATAAACCTACTGCAAATGTTATATAATGTTCTAAAACCAGTTATATGACCTTATAAGGTATCCTTATCCGTGCATCAACATGTGATATATTCCAAAACAGACAAGATAAAAGAACCATATATGAATGTATGATATGGGCACAAAGCTTTCTCATTAACTCTTGTTTACTAGCATCTCATTGCAAAACATGTGCTTTACCCTTAGCTCAGTATGGGCACATGTTTTCAAGCTTGTTTTAAGTGTTACCATCTATTTTTAGTAAATCCACCCTACAATAAGAAGTAGGTGTAATATATCCAGTAGCTGGAATATTATAATAAGTATATCTTACGTCTATTTGTGTCATAATGATGGTAGATGATATACTGAAAGTAATCCTCAATGACGTCTATTGTTTTTTGTAATGATATGATTACATAAGAGAAAAACTCATACTAGTATACTGTCTCAAACCAATGAATTACGTCAACAACACAGCGTTTGAATGCTTCAGTTTTAAAATCATCAGAACTAAAATATCATCACTGAGTCAAAAAAGATAATTTTGCTTTGACTATTCACACAAAATTGAATTTTTTTAATTTCAAGTAACAGTTCTACATTTATTTTGATTCCAAGGAACTAGGAACATATTAGAATGCATAACTGAAAAGCATTTCTAAGCCAGCTTAAAAAATGTCAATATAGGCATCGATATGGTTTGGCTTCGATATCCTGTCTAAAGTAAAAGGTAGATGTAATAAACCAAGTTATTTGAAGGTGATCGTTATAAATGCACCAGATTTACAGCAATTGTAATGTTTGATTCAGGGCACAATCTCATCTTAACACGGAGGAATTTCAGGACATAAAGGAGTGTTGAATGTACTGTACCCAGGAATAAAATAACAATCTGCTCGTCATTATTTCATGTTTCATCTTTCCGAAAAGTCAATAAGATCTTTACTGTTTTGCAGTTTCTTATACTTCATAAGGTACACTTTATTCCTGTCGATAATTCCTTGCCAGGTGAACATATTATTCGATCTCTATTTTCTATCCTTAAACCATAGTCATAATATTTTATGTTTAGGAATTCTATTACTAATCATTATTATCAGGGCTCAAGAGAATGTGAACTGAAAACATACAGCAAAATCCAGGAAATCCAGAAAATGTGTGTAATAGTTGATGAAGATTTGAAATAATTTGAAAGTATGTCCTTGTTTCACTCGACCATTTTTTACCATTCTATTTTATTTTGATTTCCTTCTATAGTATAATATTAGAAAAATTATACTGGTTTATTATTTTGAATGAAAGGACAATAACAAATTGAACTGAATTGTATTTGCTGGGTGGTTTAAACTTTACCAAAAATGCAGTTCAAATTAAAAAAAAATTAAATATAGTTTTACCCAAATGTTAATCATATTTGCCATACTTTTTCAGGGGAGTGTAAATCTATATTGAACAATGACATGCTCACTTATCCATTCTTTTTCAGGGGAGTGTATGTCTATATTGAATAATGACGTGCTCACTTATCCATTCTTTATAAGGGGAGTGTATGTCTATATTGAACAATGACGTGCTCACTTATCCATTCTTTTTCAGGGAAGTGTATGTCTATATTGAACAATGATGTGCTCACTTATCCATTCTTTTTCAGGGGAGTGTATGTCTATATTGAATAATGACGTGCTCACTTATCCATTCTTTTTCAGGGGAGTGTATGTCTATATTGAACAGTGCCTGGATGACACAACTCATGTAGCAGCTGAATCAGTGTAAGAGAAACCCACGAATAAAACATTGTACATGTAATATATTTTCTCAATACGAACAGGAAAAGCAAGTGTTTCCAAAGAAACAACATTACATATCTTTAACACATGAACTGAACAAGAATATGTGATATATCCACAGCCAATTCTAGAAATTGATAAAAATGTAAGATAATATTATAGTGAAAGCATTCAGTGTGACATTGCAATGTATTTTAGTGTACAGTACATCTATTCCAAGTTAATTCTAGTTCAGTTAGTTGAGCATTTAAACCTATTTGGAATTTTCTATGAGTTGCGGTATGATTCCTGAATAAATTGTTAAAATCATAATTTCAATTTGTTGATGGATTGATTCTATATGTTGATATTGTTTGTAGGGGTTGTTCTAATTTGTGTTGTTCCTTTGTGTCATATAATAACCCTTATACTATTAGTAGACAATACACTAAATGTATATTTGTCTCTATCTGTTTACATCTTTCTCGGTTGCAAGTTCCTTGTTTTTTGTTTATTTGTTTCAGTGTCTGTTATTAGGGAATGTTTACTCGTAAACATTTGTATACTTGTATCAAATTGTTCATCAAATCTCATTAAATACTTGCTAAAACTGCGAATTTACCCATAAAATAAATAAATGGTTTAAACATTAGCAAACTGAAATATGTGAAACTAAAAACATACATTTAGCGAACATTAAAAAATTGGATATTCTAGATGCAGTTTTTGCATATTTGAAGATGCAGTATGACATCAAAATATGTAATGACCTTGGTGTACTATATTAAGCCACTGTATATTCACATTCACCTAAATCCTCATTCAATAGTTTTTTATTAATGTTTAAAATATAGATGTACTGTACAGTTGGATATTTATTTGCAAGTTTATTGTAGATTATTGCTCTGGTATCCTGTTAGCGAAAGTATTGAAAGTGATATATCATCCATTAACATGCAGAACCCTTACATATTATAATATGTGGAATATGTACTCGAATACTGCATGTATATATACAAATATGTGTAAGGTAGATCCGAAATTTTCATGAATACAATAACCAATACTTAATTAAGAGAATTAGAAATATTTTTCAAAATTTTATGTGGTTTTAAAGTTTCATATAGTTAAAATCAAAATATTTTGTGGATGGATAAAACTACCCCTTGTAATATCAAGTATTAACAACTAATTCTAAACAAGGTATTAATATTCAAAATGTCACCACCTGCCATTTGCTACAGACACTGACCACCGAATGCCAACCACCGAACAACACCATCCACAAAAAGTTGGAGGCTATAACAAAATGGGATAAGAGGCCCATACATCTGGTTTAGATGTTTCTTCTTTAGGAGACAGGTGGTCAAATGTTGAAAAATAAATGATCATTATGCACAATTCACTATCAGATATCATATGGTGCTTTCACCCTTATATAATCAATTATCAACAATTATCAAATCAATATTTTATATTCCTGAAATTGCCTTAGATATAAATTACAATCAGTTGGTTGAAAATACCCAATAATTGCAATTTAAAACACACTTATTGAACCGAACTCATTGCTGTCCAAATGTTCTGTTAGATAAATGACAATGCCCTTGGCTAACTGTACTGTGATACATAAGGCCATTTCATTTAATTGTAATGCCTTATATGCTATGCTGGTCATCCCAAAACCCTTCTTGGTCAACTTTTTTCCTGCTTTTGTTTAAAAACGGTGTTTTTTCACTGTATGTTTTTCGGTAAAATAAAAAAAATCTTGTGACCCAATGCTTTTGTTTTGCTGAACAGAAAATTAAATCTTGGGGCCTCATTACTGTATTCCTACACATGTGTTCACATTCAACTTCCATAAGGGAAAACCCTCAAGGACAATGCAATTTCATGCAGCAAGTTAATAACTGGAACGAGCATATTAATATCGCTTTTATTATAAATTTTTAAGGTACAATAAGCAATTATAATTGTGCAGTCAGATTTCATTGATTTTCTTTGAATGTATAAAAACTAAATTACAGCACAATACTGATAATGCATATAAGTCATTCTAATCCTTTACTTATGGTCACATTTGCTCCGATTCATCGGCCGGCGTCTGGCCGATTGAGTATTCTCGTCAAAACTATATACAATCTTGAACAAAATATTCAATCGAGCGGGCGCCGGCCGATGAATCGGAGCAAATGTGACCCAGGCATTACAGAGGTTGGCAGGAAATTAACCAATTTGCAGATTATCTATAATAAGTAATATTGTATTATAATCAAAAGAAGCCCAAGAAAATTGTCTGTCACTCTGAGGGACCACAATTGATTGACATGTGAGATAAGAATATTAGCTGAAGGTGCCTTCCTACTAAGAGGAGAAAATATACTCATAAAATATACATCTATTTATTTAGCTTCCATTCTACAATTTTTGTTCAGAATATTTTCTTCAAAATATTTGAAAGAAAAACTAAATCTGAAGATTTTTTTGTACATGATTAATTAATATTCAAAAACCATAACTTTTTACATTTATTAAAAATGTGTAATAAAGCATTGTTCTCAATGACCTGGCCTATACTCCTATTATTTTATATCTAGTTGACCTAACTGTGAACTGTTCGCTACCTGATAGAATGCAATTGACCTTAGGCACAGCTGTTGACAAATTATCATAAAAAGTAAAAGTTTGATATTATTTTGAGGTATTTTTAATAGTTAATATAAAATGTAAGTCGATTTAATGTTTCCTATGTCTGACAGGAACTGACATAATCTTGCCATCGGGAAACTAAATTATCTATTATTATACACAATGAACAAGAAATATGTTTAAATAAAAAAGGAAGATGATCCAATAGTGGTAAAATGAGAGTGACATATTTAATGCATCCATGGGATTGTCAAATGGGGAGGGGCCATTTGTGAGTTTCAAAAGGGGATGCGACATATTTGAAGGACCCCATATATTGTCTCTATCAAGGACTGCTTGACAATGAATATAATAATGGATGTGTTTCCTTTAATATTTCAATCAACATATTAATCTATGCTAGCGATTCTCTTCGCCATTGCACAAAAACAGTTTACATTTTTTAAATTGAATAACTGTGTAGTTAAAATGTTTAAGCAAGGTCGATGTGACATTTCAAATGGCTACATACTTTACATAAAACAGAAAATTGATTTTTTATTATGAAAGAGGTTTCATTTTACGTCAGAAGTTACAGTTATAAAAATTTATAATGCCCCAAGCCTGCATAGATTACTAAAGCCCAGATCATAGACAGCAATGACACAAATATAACAAATTGTATTTCGTGATGAAGCAATTTTAAATGAGTTGAAACCATAAGTCTATTTTTTAATGTTAAGGGTAAAATTATAGTTTATTCAAATTATATCACTGTTAAACTATATATCTGTTTTAAATGGGCTTATTAGCCTTTTGCAGATTTTGAAATAGACATAGAGCAGCAAAAAGTTAAAAAAGAAAATCAAGGAAATGTTATTTCAACATTTAGTTGAAATATTCTGATATCGAACTTTATCGAATTCTTTTTAAATCCCATTTTTGGAATTTCCATTCATAGAATGCAATCAGGGCCTCTTCATTTGGATACCTCTCAATATGAACACTGATGCCATTTCTATGTGCGCTCACAGGTTTAACTGTATATATTTAGTGTTCACTTTACACCGGCAACAAATATATAAATGCGCTTTAAATGATGTAGTCTAGAGTTCAGCTAACTACAAAACACATACTTGTACTCTTTCAAAGTGAAACTTACATTAACGATAACTTCCTAGTAATTTATGCCAGATGAACATATGTCTGTATTATCAATTATAAAGTGCTAGTATGAAAATATAAGTGAATCTTGACCTGTGTAAGAATCCATAGTCACAGTTCATTGAGATGGCATGTTTTAAAAAATGCCCCACATATAAACGAATACATGGAATGTCATACCATAAAGATGATGGAAAAAAATAATGATAAGAATCATTAAAAAAATATATATATATTCTGTCTTCTAAAACATACCAGCTTTTTAGTCAATGCCTCTTTAACCCAACTCAACTCAGAAATCCTCTCACATAAACTTAAAGAGACATACTCAGATCTAGCTGTACTCACCTAGGATAAGATGGAGCTTGGCTTCTGTCTGGAATGCATAGTGAAGTGTGACGAGGAACGGGGATTGTCTGATTGCCTCCAGTACTTGACGTTCAGTTTTTGTATGTTCTGTTGTCTTAGTTTTCTGGACGATGCTAGCTTTCTTGAGTACTTTCATGGCGTACAGTTTGCCCTGATCTTTTCCGGAGTTCTTGCGTACAAGGAATACCTTGCCATAAGCTACAAAAAACAAAACATGTACTGTGATTTTAAGGAGTGTTTTACAGTTTAAATCAGGAAACCATAATAAAACTGCAATACCATATGTTATGAACTAGTAGAATGAATTAAGAGAGATTGTAGGTTAATAGGTCCAGCAAAGGGAGGGAGGGGTAATATGAAGCCAAGCAAATGAGGGTGGGTAAACGGAAGTCTAGTTAGGGGAGGCGAGTAATGGTTGGCGGGTAAGTAAAGGTAGGATAGTAATTCGAGATCAAGTAAGGGGGGGTGAGTGAAAGAAGTATGGTAATGGTATGTTAAGGTGAGTAATGGTAATTAAAAGGAGGTAAAGAGAGGTCAAGTAAATGGGAGCAGAGGAAAGGCTTATGATGGGGGAAGGAAGAGTAAGGGGGACTCACAAATCATATACTAAATATGTTGATCCCTGAAACATTCATTTAAAATTTTTTGCAGGTACATGTAGATGGAGACCGAACCATCTCATGCAGGATTACTTCATGTAGACTGTACAAGTCATACAACTTTTTTTTATCTCAAGAGCTTTGGTGGATATAAGAGTAGGAATGGAAGTTATTGGCAACCACATACAGAGGACCATCTTAACCTTCCTGTTCTGTCATATCACTGCCTTGAATCTCTGTATCTCTGCCAGCTCATGTACTCTTTGTAAGAGTAACTGCTTTTATCTCACTCTTAATACTATCAATAACCCTCTGACAACAACCAACAAACGAACTAACAAATCAGATGGTCTGTTTTTTCCTACGATCATTTTCTACATGTGATCATAAAAGCATTGCTTTGGGTGCCTTCTGATTGATTGAATGCTAAACTATGAGTACCAAACTCAAAATGATAAGTGTGGGTGAGAGGGTAGTTTATTCACTGATTTTCCCAGGGTAAGTTTATGATAAGAAAGAGAATGGAAACTGCAGCATACAAATATTGACTCTTAGTGATAATATATAGCAGTCTTATCCAGGGTTGGCTAGCTACTGCTGCTGGTATAAGACATATCTGTGACTAGATATGTGATAGTTTCATAATAAAGCTATCTCATTATTTGCAGATATAGATCTAGGGCTATGATATCAATTTTCTATAAAAGTAAACTAAAGAAAACTAAGGTCAGGTTTATATATACATTGATCTTTAATATCGCAAATCTATAAAATTGCCATATGCTCTAGTCTTGCACGAAGACACAATCCCCAACATCTAACATTGGTAAAGGGTCTAGATGCGAGACTACATAATCCATAAAATGTAAAAACTTAAAAATAAAAGTTTGATTTAGGCAGCATAAATTTATGAAAAGGACACATGTAGTCATGATAAGGACACGTGTATTCATGAATAGGACACATGTATTCATGTTCAGGACATATGAGCTCATGAATAAGGTACATGTATGCATGAATAGGACACATGTATTTATGAATAAGACACATGTATTCATGAATAAGACATATGTATTCATGAATAAGACACATGTATTCATGAATAAGACATATGTATTCATCAATAAGACACATGTATTCATGAATAGGACACATGTATTCATGAATAAGACACATGTATTCATGAATAAGACACATGTATTCATGAATAAGATACATGTATGCATGAATAGGACACATGTATTCATGAATAAGACACATGTATTCATGAATAGGACACATGTAATCAACATAAAAAATGCCTCAATTTGTATTATTTTGTATAATTGTCATTATTCCCACTATACTGATATAGTGTGGGTTATGCATTATAACATTCACCAAGCCCTGTTTCCTCAAAATCTATGGTAGTGGTAAGGTCAACAATAAAGTACTATATACCATATCCCATTGTCTCCCACAGGAGACACCTCTCATCCAATATGACAATCCCCTTAAATCCCCAATAGCCAGTATATACATGTTATACATGTACACATATACATATACAGGTATAAGGTAAACCTTAGGTCAGGTTATTAAATCATACCAGGGTTCATGTAAGGTAAATCAAGATATCATACATGACAACCCAGATTCAGTAATATAGATATTAATACACTGTAAAAAAAAAACTATGTTAAGTAGGTTTTAAAAATTGGATATTGACGTTCAATAACAATTTTTGTCAAAATATATCAAATACGCTCAAATTATGATTGACTTTTTATAATCATTTATTTCATACATAATACATACAATAATTCAGATAATAGAGTTTGACAAGGTTAAAATGATTTGCACTTCATAAACTAGTTTATTATATTAACTTTATGTAATTAACAAAGGAGAATATGCCCTACATTTTATTCATTTAGCCTACAGTTCTTTGTCCAATAGATAATAGGACTGTCCTATATCTAGGCACATTGTGGGGAGAAGAAACATGAGCTTTTCCATTATGGACACAATGGGATCGGCTAACACCTGTAGGTACTAATAACTAGCTAGCCCGTCAATGTATTTAAACAAGGCATTAACGTGACAATATGTTACCACCTGGTCAGACATTGCAAAGTGTAACAACTGTTACAGATACTGAATGCTGTGGCTAACTGCCCACCACTGAATGCCAAATGCTAGTCACAAAAATGGTCCCTCTTTAAGAACATGTTACCACTTTGTAGTGGTCTCATTGAACATCAATCTTATATATTTCAAAGATTAAATCAATTTTTCATGTATAATAATTCTCTATATATAAAATATGAAGACCAATTCATGCACTCCAACTTATGTCATTCAGACACCATCTTTGAAAACATTTTTGAAAAAATGGTAAAAAATGATAAAACTTTAAAACAGTGAGTCATTCCCTACAATGAAAAAAAAAAATTCTGCATATGGTAATCTTGCTTCAAGACTGTGCCCCCTGCCCCATTATCTATTTCACCAAAACATAACATTGTATGAGGTGTGTATTGGGTAGAAGGGGGGGGGGGCTCACATGGGATTTTAGACAATACAATAACAAACCTCAGTTTGAGATGGTTCCAGAATTAGACTTAGATGGGAGAATGGATAATACCATGGGAGATGGGACCATATGGAGGCAAGAAAGATAAGTGATTAACTAATAATCAAAAGGTGTCATAATATGTCTAGAATGTTTCTAGAGGAAAGGATAATAAGCTCAAGGTTCCCTTGTACAATAGTTAGGTTTATTGATTTCCAGGATGTTGAATCCTATGTTATTTGCAGCAATATTGAGAGGAGAATCTAGTACTTTCCCACTTACAACTATATACTATGGATAAGGTGAAGTAAGATCCGGGTGCCTCAACGCCTACCCTTTCAAAGAGTGGTAAACATTGTCACAGACTCTTTATATTATTGGTAAATGACTGAACTTTGTGACCCAATCAGATCCTGTTCCTTATAGACAGAACAATATATCATGTATGTGTATTTTAACATGTTATCATGATTCTGAGATTCTCACATTATCTAAACACCAAACTGTAAACTGATCAGTCCTAGTAAGAGTGAAGTATACTAACTGATGAGCGCAGGGTAATCAACATCTCCCTGTAGCCAGCCATTTAGTACATCCTGTACAATACAACCCAAAATTAATCTCTCGTGTATCATTTATTAGAGGATACAAAAAGGAAGATAACAATAGAAATCTGATCAATTCTTTAACACATTATTGCGACTGCATCTATATTAATCTCAAAAATTAATTTATAATATTTAAACATTAATATCTCAATAGTATGTAAAATTTGTTCTGGGTTTAGTCTTGCACTGTTTTATATGTGGGCAGGGGAAATTGCAAGTTAAGATGAAATGGTACATAAGACATGTTCTTAGTGCTTTGTTAATCCGATGTAACATTAAACACAGCTTCAATCATTAGAATCCTGTTCCTTTCGTACAAACTCATAAAAAAAGACATTTTGATCAGTTTTATTACATTATAGTTTTTGTTATGAATATAATTCTCAGTCTGGGTGGAACAATTTGACAGAAGGCTGATATCATTTCTTGTTAGGTAAACAACTGATATAATGGTATGAGGGTGTTAAATAGGATGTTTTCACACTTCAGGGTCAGATAGCATGACCACATAGGAAAAAGAGGAGGTGGTTAGCAGATTTTATACCTTTCAACCTCTGAAAGCCCTGAAACCTAATAACAATACCTATAAAATGATTTGTAAAAAGGTTTTACATTTGATTTGATTTGATTGAAAATTGGAGGTGTATTTTATAAGAGGATTTTTAAAATACCCTAAAATCACTTTATCACTTGGAAAGTACTCAAAATAAACCTCTAATCCCTGGATACAGCCCTTGACCCAGAGAATTTACTCGAGAAAGAACATTTTGCAGTATTCCTAAAATTTCAGAGGAGACATGGCAAGTTTGAAGTCAACCCACACCAACTGGTAATTGCAGTACATGTATATACCTGGTTGAATCTACTTTGACAAACCAGTACATGTAAACACATTTGGGTGAACTTACAAGCGCAACTCTTTCTATTCCCAGAACCATGGATATTCTTTCCCAGGTTATGTTACAAACAGTGAGAAATGCGCAATCATTGTATACAAGGTATTCACATGGATATTTTGGGATCCCGAAAAAAGAATTACCCTTCACAAGCTAGACTCCATCCATACTCTTATAATTACAGATGCATGTACTGTGATTAGTTGATCTACATGTGAATGTGAAGTCAGAAAATCATGACATGACATTTTCTGATTGTAATTAACTGACAGTCATTTTACATTCAAAATCCTCAAAATATCAAGGAAGCTTGATTGAGTAATCAAGGCTGTAAAAACCCAAATTAACATCAAAGGGGTATAAGTCAGAGGCAGGAGTAGATAGATCATTTGATATCAGGGTAAAAAGAATCTATTTTCAAGGCAGACAGCCTTGATTCAGGTGCCATACTGCTCTCCCCTTAGCCTGACATCCTCAAAAACTAACTTTATATATCAGGCATAAACCAGGCCAAGTAGATAGGCCTTGAATAAACTGATTTACACATATATTTACCAAACCTCCAGTAAAGGCTTACAACTAGAATATGGGGAATTTTGATTATAATAAAAAAAGATTATAAACTTAAATCATATCACATGTTTTCAAAAGGGTAATTCACACTATAACTGTTGATAATAAAAGTGTTTTGTTTAACCAATACTTTGAAAGAACTATAGGAACTAGAAAAACAGCAACGCCACGGAGTAGCAAATTCCACCAAACAAAACATGTTTTGATAAATAGCGGCCATATACAATTTGAGCCAAATCCATCCACTGGTATTTGAATTATCAAAGATTATGTTTTTATGAAACTTGGTTGCCATTTTGAAATTCAGCTGTCATCTTTAGATTTCTTCTTTAGCAGAGCTCCTATGTCCCAAGGCATCGGCATATACAATTAAATCCAAATCCTTCAACTGGTACTTGAGTTATCAAGGATTACATGTTTAATGAAAAATGGCAGAGATTTCGATAAATAGCACCCACCTTGAAAATTTCTTCTCAAGCAGAGCTCCTTTATCTCTAGGCATCAGTATATAAAATTTGAAGCAAATAAAAATAACCTTTTTTATGAAAAATGGCAGCCATTTTGAAATTCAGCTGACGCCTTTGAAATTTCTTCGTAGCAGATCTCCTTTGAACCAAATTATCCACTGGTATTTGAGTTATCAATGATTGCGTTTTTTTACGAAAAATGGTGGCCATTTTGAAATTCAGTGGTCATTTTGAAAATGTCTTCTTAAGCAGAACTTCTTTGTCTCTAGGCATCAGCATATAGAACCAAATCCATCACTGGTATTTGAGTTATCAAAGGTTATGTTCTTTTATAAAAAATGGCAGCCATCTTGAAAATCCCTTCTCGAGCAGAGCTCCTATGTCCTAGGCATCAGCATGTAAAATTTGAACCAAATCCATTCAATGGTATTTGAGTTATCAAAGATAATGTTGTTTTTACGAAAAATGGCCACCATTTTGAAATATGGCACCCAGACACACGAACAGAAGGACGGTTTTTCTATATCCCCCTCGAACTTCATTCAGTGGGATAATTAATAGATATTACTAGTAATAGTCATATGATGTAGGAAGTTCAGTATCATCTTTGAGATTTTCATTTAACTGTCAATATGTTTATAATGTACAGTGTTTTTGATACTTACTCTCTCAATTACATAAAGGTGATAATTTTTTAATAAAGAAATACAAGTCGGTATCTTATCAAAAGAAACTTAGTTTTGCAATATTTCATAATAAATGGCAATGTCATTTAAGGTTCCTTTGAATATTTCAATTTTATTCTCTAGTGACGCATTTCAGTAATGATTCATTATATAATACATTTGCTCATTTGCATAATATCCAATTAAAATAAAAGATTCACGTATCTAGCTTTTGTTAGATCTGACCAATTCTTAATGATAAGACATTCCATGATTCTTTTCTTACAAAATCTTGTTTAAACATAAGAATGCTCAAAAAGTATGCATAAAGGTATTCTACAATAATATGAGATATAAATATTTCCTAAGGGATATACCCTATATCCAAAAATGACTGTACATAACTGGTGTATCTCATACTTGAGTGGGTTTGAAGTGTTTATATTTTCAGGAGATGATACAAAATCATTAGCATCGATTTGGTTCAGATATGATATGATATATATTCCTGGTTGGTATCTATCCAAAATCCACTCAAGTAGGAGATACACAAGTATATCTTTACCAATATATTTGATTTCCAAACAATTAGAATATGATACAATGAAATAGTCCCATTAATATGCTTACGTATACACATATATAAATTGCATCGCAAAATATGCTTTAAATAAACTTATGCAAATAAGATGTTAGTAACAATCTATATACAAAATCAGGTATATTCTGAATGAATATGATAACAAATGATCAAAATCTGGAAAATCTACCATTCAATTCATATAATTCATTAAAACAAAGGATGGTCATAAAAAGAAAAAATGGCTGTTTGTAATTTTCTGGTAGGGGTATTTTTCCTGAGCAATGCCTGGAGAACTATGAGGTGAAAACTAGGGACACCAACGGAATGTGCCACTAATTAACTGTTTAATAATCGGTTAATATCAACTGACAGACTGTATTGTATATTGATTGCATATATTCACGTAGAGATACATAAATGAACATTTTTGTTTTTATAGGAAGTGGATGTTGTCATATCCAAGACATAGCCATAGCTAATTGATTAAATCATGTAATGATGTTACAGAAGCCAATTTCATCTCCAAGGTAGTTTCGCACTTTCACAAAAAAGCTGCTAGAGGTGCCATTTCAATTCTATTTAATCAAAATAGTTTGGTTTTGACCTAATGCATTCTTCCTAAATATGGAAATTTACTTTTTCATTTATTATTGGTAACTGTAATCATAAAAGTAAAATAAGAATTTTCATTAAGTAGATCTTCCTGATCGCTGAATCATCATTCTCCCTTCATAAGACTTATGAAACAAATTATTTAACTTATGAATAAGTAGTACATATATTTATCATTCTTACCTAAAACAGTTATTATCCCCTCCCAAAAAGTAATTAATTTGTACTTGGGAAACATTGATATGTTGTTATTAAAAGAAACCTAGTCTGTGACCAAAATACAAATACACATATATAATATGAAAGTAGTGACAGTAAATATGTTTCTGAGTTATTATTCAATGACATTGTTAAACCTCTTTTTTAACATGCTTATCAATAAATACAGGGTGGTAAAAAATGGAAACCCTAACGCCATTTTCCTCATATCTTTGTCATTTAAGGAAATAACTCCCTGATATTTTAGATATTTGTACATCGTTTCCTACCAGCCTACCATATTTCATGAGCATCAGACTGATATTCACAATGTCACAGCACTTTAAACAACATGCTCTGTTGTGAGATTATCCGTGTCATTCAGGCCATACATGCCGAGGAATGCATTCTGGTCATTGAAAGTTGTGCAGGTTTGCCTACAGTGCGATGATGGCCAAATCTGAAGCATGTTGTTCAAAGTGCTGTGAAATTGTGACTATCAGTCTGATGGTCATGAAATATGGTAGGCTGGTAGGAAAGTGGATGATGTACAAATGTGTGATATATCAGGGAGTTATTTTTTAAAATGATAAAGATATGAGAAAAATGCAGGGTTTCTTTCTTTTTGACCACCCTTGTATAACATATTTACAATTTTTGATCATCCTTAAAATCATTTATTGTCAAGTTCTTTCTTAAATACTGTTTGAAATAAATTACATCGAGGTAATAACATTACAATGTTATGTGTTATTTAGTATGTTCATGGTTTTGAACAAAAGAAAAAATTATTGAAAAAAATCAAGACTCACCTCCAGTTCCAAGAACCTTGAGAAGCTCGAAGTTCTCCATGGCAATTTTCCCTTGCCCCGTCATATTCACTGAAACACAATTAAGGATTTATAATAAATAAATCATTTAAGATCTTTTGGATGTCATAAATAATACTGGCCCATTGTTTAAAATTGATCCAAACTTTACTTCGGCACTATTTTTGTATTATTTTGTATTATATATTTCACATGTCTCCTTCTAAGAACTGTCTATATAAACTACTTATCTTCATCAACTATCTTATATTCTTACCTATAATAACCATGGTTACACTTGGCAAAACATCAGTTTATATGTTATATGACATAAATACGTAATACAGAATGGTGATAATTGCAATTTTTACTTTCTGTTAAATATCAATGCACCCTATTTTATTTACTAAAAATGATGAATCAATAACTTATAAAATTAATAAATCGAATTACTCAAAAGTATATACGATAATCATATTGTAAAATGTATTCTATTATATCCTGTTGAAATTTAGACATGATTCTTCCAGGTAGGGGTGGGGGCCAAAGGCTTGATGAGAGACATGAGAGACATAACAAAATGATTAACATATGTTTATTAGATATCAGTGTCACAATGTAAACACCTTGTTCATATAAATGGGTTATCTCAGGTTGTTTCTAATAATTGATTAGAGAGGGGTGGGGATTTTTACACATATAATAAAGTAAACGCTGTGTAATATATTCACCACTAAAAACCAAAAGTGTTTGGATTAACAAATGATCTCAATGATCTTTAATGCATCTTTCTTGGGTTTTATTGGAAGTTTGAATGTGAAATAAACATCAGCTACTTATAGCCAGAATATATAGATTGGTGATTTTCAACTTTTCTGCTTAGAATTAACAAGTCAAACTCTTGTAAAAGGAAGCTAAACCAAAGAACTGAAGAGATGGTTAATATCTGGGCTGTTCTAGGTGATTGGACATTATCTTATGTTACAGGTGTTCTGTCAAAGCTGCTACCGTCATTTCAACCATCTCACTCACATCAATTAAACCACTGAAGCAACTTGAGGCAATTAAAGCTTTTACATATACATGTACATGTAATACACTGTACATAAAATAATTATCTCACTTATCACCAGTCGCAAAAAATTCTGAAGATGCCATGAAAGAAACCTATGTCAGATGTAGTTATTCCACTCACCAACCTTAGGTAATAAGTAATGATTTAATGTATGATGTGATGTAAGTAAAATGAGCAAGAATTTACTTATATAAAATAGGTTATCTAAAGCACTGACCATGTGCTAAGATAGACACTGTCGCCATAACTATTAGGTTGAGAGTTTGAGACATGCGAGCTCCTTGCTTTCATTTATTAATGTAAATTTTATCATATAAGTCTATAATTCTAATAATGTAGTATGCAGTTGATTACCCTTTGCATTCGTTTGACTTCACTTCTTAAAAGAGAGTTCCGTCTTCACTCTTTCAAACTAAAATAAACCTGTGAACTCACCGCGCTAATCAGTGTTCGTCGGCCAAATTTGACCGACGTTCTATATATGGTCATTCCTTCTTACGTCATCGTTGAGCCCGGAATTGACCAATGACATGAGCATATTTAATTAGAACTCATTTGGCGTATGTTTCTTCAAGCTTGCTGATTGGTGAAAGAAAGGTCAGCGCGTACAGGTCAGAAGTGATTTATTACCCAAACTGTCACTGGTACCCGTCGTGGGGGTGGGGCTACTAAACTGTAATATGGTTTCTACTAGGCAGAGTGTAGTTTAACTAGACTCTGCACGTAGGGTAGCAGTTGATGGCACAGACCACAGATGGGCAAGATGGACAGTTTCAGCTCCTTCTGTGATTTACCAGTGTTTTGCCTCAGATTGTAAATTGTATATAGAGTAACATTTGCAGAAAACGAAGACATTTTCATTACATATAAATGTTTTCAAGCCAGGCCGGTGGACCATATTTGAAAAGAGGAGTACATTTTTCCAGAAAATATAGGTGACATGGCGAGTGATTACATGGCCGAAGCTCACGCATCTGGGGGGTCCAGGGGCATGCTTGTCTGTAAAAATTCTTTTCATTGAAGACATTATTTCGTGCAATCTGAGCATTTTTAAGGAATAGAAATAGCTCTCTTCTAGTAAAAAACATATCTAGAATTTTCACAGGAATTTCACCCCAAAAAATCCTATGTGCATTCATACCCAACACCACCCCCCCCCCCCCCCTCTGACACCCATATCAAATACATTGTAATCTCGGGCATGAGAGAGGTAAATGAAAACCAAAAGAGCAGTTGGAGCAATTCCCAACTTACTGATTGGACTTGTGTAATTGTGTAGATGAAGCTATTGGTTTTACGTAATTCTTAAGTGAGACCTCTCTATGACCCTTTCTCCTTGAGGAACCTCTCACAACAACAAGTGATGATTATCTAGGAGCAGATTTAAAAATAGAATATTTCATATATATATATATATATAAGTAAAAATAAGAAGAACTAATAAAATACGTTTGAAAATCTAAACATGTTTCTTTATTCCTCAGTAGATTTTTCAAAAATGAGAACAAGAGGTATACAGGTAAGTATGACGTAATATTAATATAATTAATTAAACGTCATGGAAACCAATAAACAATTTATTTGTTTAGTTTTGGTTTAAGATATATACAGGTAAGTATGACGTAATATAAATATAATCCGCTTATATAGTAACCAATAAACAATTTATTTGTTTATTTTTGGTTTAAAAATATACAGGTAAAAAGGTATATGACGTAATATTAATACAATTAATTATTGTCAGTAGTATTTATCCATCACGTACAATTTAACCGTTACATGTATAGTAACCAATAAACAATTTATTTGTTTAGTTTGGGTTGAAAAATGTTAATAAAATGATTTTCCATGGCGATTCTTTGTTCGATATCGTCTTCATGAAATTTAAAAAAAGGCATTATTGTGAATTTTGGTTCATGTCCAGTAGCACAATTATCAATATGCTCGCTTACTGGCAACATACGGACAGTAGGGTCACGAATTTGTTGCTTATGGACTCGGACCCTGTTCCGAAGTTTGTCGCCCGTTTGTCCAATGTAAATCTAATATATAATATATATATATATATCTCCTATATTTTTCGTTTAATTAATTACAGTACATAGCTAAATTCATATTTTTGAAAAATGTTATTTTCTGGTTTAAAATACAAAAACATTTGTGTACTTCTTTACTTTTTCAGAAAAGTACCCTTACTTTGTTTACTTTTAATGCTAATTCCAGGAAAAGGGTGAATTTAGACATACCTAAAATACACTCTTGGACCTTCAAATACATAAGCTAAAACAAATTGTTTTGCCCCAGTACCCTGCTCTGGAGCCTCAAACCAAAATGTTAAAAACATGCATCATCATTTTAACTGTGATGAAACTGTATTTCATTTATAAAACATGAGTTCAAGTCTATTGGCATGTTTCAGCTCATCACATGTATTCTGCAGTCTAATTAGGATCTGCAGAAACCTCTCAAAGCAGCCTGTTTTACACTTCTTTCCTCAGTAACAGAGCAAAGACAAAGAGTTGTAGCTCAGCTTTGAGTTGATGCCTAAAAATAATATATACGTACTATATATTACCGTTGGTAACTTCATAATATTGAACAATTAGAGTATTTTAGTTTAATATTGAATATAACTTCAGCTTCACCATGTATACTTTGCCAAAGGGTAACAAAGAAAACAATCAATTCACATGTAATCAATCATCTGCCTACAAAAGTATACATGTATTCCTATGTATATCAACCCCCCCTCCCTCTCCCCAGTGCAGCTGATACTATGGCCCATATATAGTTTTCTCAAAGGAGTTTTTAATGCTATGAATATACTTCAAATACAAAAGATTCTGTAATCAATAATAACCATATGCATTTTTCAACATTAGCTGCAACTTTGTTGGTTTTAAACTAGGGAGCGAATGCAGATCTTTGATCAACATTTTTCCAATCATGCTGCTGCTAATGCACCGTATCATCAGCACTAATCATGTTTAACTATCAAATGTCTTGTCTCCTTGCATTACTAACAACAGCTGCTGCGGTAAAAAAATTGCTTTTCAATTTTTTATTTGTAATTTACATACATGTAAATGTACTTTTTAAATGCAAGATCGAGATCGGTATGACATGGTTTCATACTCATGGCATATAAGTTGAATATACTATAGATAATATATAAGTGTATTTTTAAATCTGGATTACATTGATTATATGATTTCAGTAATTCAAAGCTGTTAAACATTTACTTTTGAATGCACCGATATACCAAGAGCCACCATATCTAAATTCATATCAATAATGCAAATAATCCTAGCCTTATTCTATCAGTATATTTGGCTGCGAGTGTAGAAAACTGTTTCATACAGACATTCAAAAGATAAAATATATAGAGGATATCCTATGATTTATGAGTGATATGATTTTTATCCATGAATGGATATGATATATGCACGAGCGAGCGTAGCGAGAGAGTGCAGATATTAATATCCATGAGTGGATTAAAATCATATCACGAGTAAATCATAGGATGTTCTTTTTATTCCATAGTTAAAGTCATCATCAGAATCGTCGGAAATTAAGTGATTTAATTTTCCAAACGATCCGACAATGTTGACACGTAGCCTCGTTTTGAGTCTTTAAGTGAAAATTTGTCAAAAAATATCATATTTACCACTGATTACAAAAATACCGTTTTTATTTTGACATGTTATCCTATGAATATCATGCTAACTATGGAATAAAGTCTATTATTCATTGTATAAATAGAGCAGATGCATTCATCTGACCCAGATATAGCAATCGCTGTATTTTTCCTTCATGATATATGTATCACTTTATGTACTATATAAAAAAATGTTTCATAACTAGGGAATTATGATGGCATGTTCTTGTCTAGACATACTCTACTGTAACATTTTGGTATTCTTTATCAGAAAACAGGGTGAGCCATTAACAGGACAAGTTGAACTGACCTATAGATGATAAATATGTATATGTTGCC